AGGGGTGAGGGGGCGTACGCGCGTAGCGAAATCTTCGGTGGGAGCGGCGTTACTGGTGGCTAATTACGAGTGCAAAGAAGTCTCTTGCTGGTATTTCTTCTCCACCCGACCACTTCTCGGCTAAACAGATGCCGCTGTTTTCTGACATTACCATTGAGGCAAGCGCACATAGGCTAACTGATAGAAGAGCTGACCAATCGGTGGTCAGGGTCAGAATATGTGTCCACAAGCAAACGTTGGTGTGTTTGCAGTGGAAAAAAAGACAAATTGAAAGTAAAAAGTCATTCACGGTAGACCACAAAAACGAGAGATAAGTGAGCCGGCGTTATTTTTGATCACGGAATTCCGGTTTTAGAAATAAGTAGACTATGCAAACGGATGAGCGTCAAAAAGAAACGGCGACAGCTAGATAGCCTACCTGGCGGGCTTCTTTGCTTCCCATGGACTGAAGAACAGCCCTGTCAAGGCCCAACTTGAGCGATGCCCGATCAAACATCTCGCGCTCGTATGTGTTGCGCGTGATAAGTCGGTAGACTTTGACCATTTTCTGTTGACCAATACGATGACACCGAGCCTGGGCTTGTAGATCATTCTGGGGGTTCCAGTCAGAATCGTAGATTATAACTACATCGGCAGCCGTAAGATTGATGCCGAGGCCGCCAGCCTTGGTGCACAGCAGAAAAACGAATTTGTCGGGATCTAGAGAAGATAAACAGCACACGGGAGTAAGGTAATGACCCGGAACAGGGGAGGGGGAGGCAAAATGTAGAATGAGCTTAATCTAGGCGCTTAAGGTTTCGAAACAAATAGCAAGTGAGTTTTTGGTGTGGCAAAAATGTGGCGATGTTTTCTAGATAGTGAATTAATCAGCAAGGCTTTACTGTTAAACATAATTTTGAGACCACTCAAACCGGGCGAAAACGAATGAATGAGCACACATACACCCACACTTAGTAGTCAGCCAAACTTAGAAACATCGCTGAATCTGCTGATTACTGAACGATCATGTAGACGGAAACTTTGTAACAAAGCTAAAGCCATGGGGTACATAAATGTAACGCGTTTAAATTATCGCAATTATTTGTAAGGTTTAGCGTGTGCCTTCTCAAACAACCATCAACCTCTTAGTTTACTCTACAGGCAAAAGCTCACGTCTCGGCTCATGTGTCAAATTGGCGGCTTACAATCATAATTCTGCAACTTTTTGGTCTGCAAAAATGATAACCAAAGTGAACAATGACTTTATTATTTATGTAAATGAGGAAAGCGAATGAAAAACCGAATCAATGACCGGCGCACTTTAACAGGCCTGACAATGAGTGTCGTTGTAACCGTGTTTTGGGACAAGAGGCCGTACAGGAAGTTAGGAATAACAACTTTTACATTCCCGAAGCATCAACAAACACAGACGCCGCAGGCCCCCTCCTTCAGTATAAAGTAACCCGAAGGGCGTAATGCAAAATATGAGCTTCTAAGCAATGTAGAAATGGAAATATGTGAGCACATCTCAGACCCACACATGCACACGCTCATAGGTAAGGAGGCGCACAGAATGTCAGTTCGACTGTCGTACACAAGAGTGTAGTGGGCAGAGGTCGGTGGCTTGAGTGTGAAAAAGTTTAGAGTGATAACAGCCTTGTGCAACATATGCCGCACTCTCGACTCTCTCTCTCTCTCTCTCATCCGCGGGAATCTTGTAAGAGGTAGCGAAGTAGACTAGTGGCGGGACCGGGCGCAGTATGTGAGTCCGTATACGCATGCCACGCACGACCTAGTCCGCACATAATGGACCGGTTTTTCACAGTAAAAAAAGACGGTTGGCTCGGATCACATCAGAGTGGGAGAGGCCTGGAGGCAAAATTGAGGAGCCATTGCAGCCTAACCCTCAGTTCGCCAAGTACTATTTGACGCACCCACAAGACTCAATGTGAAGCAAGAGTTGTTTCAACAGTTGGCAGCCTTCCAGGTCACGACATTTAATGTGTTGTGGCCGTTTTCCAGCGCGTAGAACAGACGACGCCCGCAAAACCAGCTTCGGGTGACCTCCTTCAGTAGTTAGTGACACTTATTTACTTATTGGATCGCTTCTAGAGTTGAGACCTTCTGCTCCTGTTTGAGACTGCTGGTGATTACCGTCCATAACCCACAAACCACCCTATTCTAGTCTTTCTCAAGGTTATTAGAGTCCCGACGTACAGAAACGATTGATTACTTGAAAAATAAAGGTTTTTTATCATAAATGATATGGGATTCACTTGGTGCGTACTGGTTGACAAAACCCAGAAAGCCTAAAAAGCGAAGGCAATACTCTTGGGCGTGTTTTTTTCCCTTTAAATGCCTATGCGTCGATGCAGAGGACTCGTGTACACGTAGAGACCAGGCACACCGACTAGCCAGTCGAATTATAAGTCAAATAGGGCTTGGAAATATATAAACACGGTGGAATGAAAAAAAACAGTTGTCGTCGTTTACTTGTCGATCAACAGACAGCAGCTTTGTTTTGGGGTGTGAAAATGAACATGTTATTAAGGAGCTTACCGCTGCAGAACCTGTCAATCGCCTCCTGACGTAGAAGACCGTGGATGCGCCCGTCGATGCGTTCAAAGCTGAACCTGAGTGTGGAAATTATGGAGAAGAGAACGAAACGGGTTCTGAGAGATCAATATAAGGATAAGAAGAATCTAATCAGTTTCTAATGCAGGGACGCAAATTTTAGACTAGTATGAGTTTCGCCGTCTCAAGACGATCGCAATACCTGAGAGTCCGCACCGAAACAGAGGAAGTAAGTCCCAGTACATGGGACCGTACTTTACGGGGCAAGACAAAAATTCTTTGGGATGGCCTGGCAAATTATTGCTACTTCGGAGAAAAATACTCCGATCGTACCTGATGGTTCGCTGGCCTTGCGAGGCGCGGCCATATATTGTGCCAACCTGGCGATAAAATCTCCCAAAACGTTATCTAGTCAAACTCAATCAGTCTGACAGCAACCGACGTGGCCAAGTGCAGAGATGGATGCACGCGGTGCGGCGTGCCAACCGACCAAACCTCGCAAAGGAATCTGATACCGACAGATCGTAACGAAAGTTGCGCATTCAAGACTTGATTAACTTTCAGCAAGTACTTGGTTAAGTCAGTTTTGGTGAATGTCTCCACAAGCACAAATAAATAAGACCTCCATTGGATTTTTGATTGAAACACCATTAACAAAAAAATAAAACAGGCCTTGTGTGTTTACTTTAGGGAGGATTACAGTGTCCAACAAAGTAATTCATCTAATCTGCTTTTTTTTCTATTTCAGCCCAAATGCGAAGGGAAAAACTTTGGGTTACAAAGGCCTCCGACAACAGTCTATCTTAGGTGATTTACACGAAAACAAAGTCGGGATGACTAGAGACGGGTGTGGGCATCGTGGCTGATGAAGCCAAATACTCCGTCCACGAAGTTCTTCTCTTGAAAACACCCAGAGCCACTGTTAACTCGGCAAGAAGAGTGATAATCTCGACGTACGCCGCATCTTCTCTCCCCCCCGCGTCTTTCATGTAAGTCTTGATGTTAGAATAACATGACAAAGTCAGAAAATTACAAATGGGCGCTGTTGCAGTGATTTACGAAGCCACATTGAAAACGAGCTATTGCAGTCTGACCTGCCAGTGGACAGACTCTGAAATCACGGTTATAGGCACATCACTGTAGTTTAGAAACCTGTCTGACTATTAATGGCAAAGAACTTAGGCGCTGGGTTGAAGTTGAAACCACACCGCCCTCTTTTACCGCTCGTATTTGCTGGCGGCTTGTCCAAAAAGAGGCGGACTGGAGATGAGATTGGGTTCGTTAGCTACGCCATATGCAAGCAAGCATCTACGCGCACGATGCGTCATTCGTCACGACCGGGGCCTCAGGAAACTTCATCGCATGATGTTTGTGTGAGTCATGAGTGGCATTTTGGTGACTGTTATCGCCTGTGCGCATATGAATGAACAGAGATATATGCAGTGATTTAATGTGCCGGTATGGTGGAGGCAGATATGGTTTACCTGATTAATGTTGATCGGGGCTCTGCGTAGAGATTTTTCGATTGCATTGCGATGGATTCGCAAGAGCCAGACTTAAGACGCATGTCAGTTACATCGAAAACAGGTCGCCGTAAGTGTTAAATATGTACGACTACGTATAGATGGAGTATATCTACCCCATCACCATCGTACCTACAAGCCAACATATCTCAAGCTCATAAAAACCCTCCCCCCCACTGCCCATCGACCGACGCCGTATGTTGTTCCCCATACCGGACAGTTTGCTAAGGCTCAGGCATGAAAGGAAGGAGTGTCTACCAATCGACTGAGGCTTGAAAGCGCCGGGAATGCAGTTTTCGCTTACTGCTGTGGAGCCAAAGTCCGTGCAAACTAACGCCGATACTTAGTTAGGGTTTTCTTTCCCACAGACTGTTATTCTGTTATCTGCCGGTTCGCTTCCCCCATCCAAGAACATAGAAATGGACTGTGCAACAAAGGAAAGGACAATAACTGTCCTGAAATCGGCAATAGTTGGTCCCGAAAAACATGAAATCATTTATGACAGTACAATCCGGTAGCGGTCAAAAGTGCGTTTTGGGTATTTCTGAAAGCGGTCATCTGATAAATTCACAAGGTTTACGTTAATGACTAAACTTACTACCGTTAAGCGTTGGTCAGAGCAATTTCTAGACATTTTACGTCAACATTAAGCAAGTCAAATGTTCACATCCACCTACCCTTGGTGGACCATATAGTCCTCGAGAATATCCAGAACGCGAATCATCTGGGAGAAAATTAGCACCTTGTGACCGCCAGCCTTAAGCTTGGGCAACAATTTGTGAATAAGGACCAATTTTCCCGAGGCGTTCAGGAGGGCATTGAACATTGCTTGCTCTTCATTGTAGGTAGAGTTTGGATCTGCTTCAGCCTATAAGATAAAGAGAGCAGGTGAAGGGACACAGGGAGCAGTTTTCAAATTGTGCAGGCACGGTTAAGGAACAGTGACCCAGACTTACGGCAGCTCTCTCTTCGTTATGAATGGCTTCCTCAGCGCCCTTGATGAGGAATGGGTGATTACAGCACTTCCTCAGCTCCATCATTACGTTCATCAGGTTGGGCATGTTTGTGCCCGTAGTGCCCTTGCACAGGAAGCTGAAGTTCCGCTCCATGATGGCTCGGT